ACGGTTGCTACTGTATATCATCTGAGTTTGTGAAATTGTGCTTCAGAATCGGTTTTAGTAAGAAAGAAAGAAATGATTTTTCTTTAAGCTCATAAACACAGTGTGATGATAAGTGTTAGGCTGTACAAAAAGCAGCGGCTGGTAATGGACAGATGCGAGGTTATCGATGGTTACATCTTCGTGCAAAAAAGAGGATGAATGTTGTATCACAAGATGGCTGATCAATTTGTTTCACTAACTCATCTAAATAAGGAATTGTGTAGCGGATATAGCGCATGTGGCAGTGTTCAAACAGTAATGTCCATATCAACAACATTTCTCTTGTGGCTCTAATACGCCATCGTAGGATAAAGCCTCCCCCTCTTCTCTGCAGCTCAGTTACTTCATCTAACTGCTCGATCAGCTGTCTGGTGTTCTGAAGCCTGTTTTCTCTCTGCAGGTATGGCAGGTCTGTCTGGGGCCGCCACCGCAGCCGTGGGTACTGTTGGAGGGGCTGTTGGAGGATTGGTGGCTGCTCTCATCTGAGACCAGGAAATTATGATAATCAGAAAGAAAATACAATAATAGTAATAAATGACATATTTACTGCTGTCAATTGGAAACAGTTGCAATAGTATCAGCGTCATGCTTCAGCAAAGCTTGGCTGAAACTTGGTTGCTGGTAATGCTGTGGTGTTTTATTACAAAACACATGGACACGGTCAAATTGTGCAACTTTAAATAAAGCCCTAATAAAATAATGAAAAACATTTTAAAGTTGTGTTTTGGTTATTTGTATTGTTATGTTTATATGTTATTATTTATTTATGTATGTGTTATCTTAAAAAAAATAAGACATGTATCATTATTTTTATATAACTGAGTCCCAAGGCTGACATACTTACTATAAAAATAAGGCGATCACCAAAGCTTGAAGTGAAAACACAAAGTTGGAGACACTGAGTGTCAATACAAATTCAACCTGTAAGCATAAATTTTTAGATTTTATTTTTTAACTGCATTATTATGCACTGATAACAAAGTGACATATTACCATCTGGTTATAAATTGATGGTCTGCCAAAAACTGATTTCCAACATTTAAACTGTTGTGAATGACGTACTGGCGTTTAATCTGATGCAATTCTCTCATGAATCCCATGAAATCAACATATATTAATTTTATTTTATGCTATAAAGAACATTTTTTTCAGAAGCTACGGTCACAAACACTGGTTTCTTTATTTTATACATGTGACCCCTTCGTAAATCCTACTAACACCACCACATTTATCAATATAAGCAAAGATAAGAAACACAAAAAGTGAGGAGAAATCACTCTCCAGTTTGTGTGGCTCTCTGTCGCCCTCTGTTTTTCAGCTCTGAACATAAAGTTTTGTTTCCGAGGAAATGACACCTTTCTTGCTATAAAAATCAGCCCATTTCAGAGCAGACGCAGAGCAGATAAAGACATGGACCCCGGTGAGTCATTTGAGTTGCTGTGCATGGATCGTCTTTGGTTAAAAAAAATTATGGAATGTTAATGTGTGTTCTTATGTTGTGTTGTAGTGACAGCTGTGTGCACTGCTGCAGGAGCAGGTAAGCAGTTTTTTAAATTTTAACTCGTTTGAATCAAAGCCCGATCCATGTCTGATCCATGTCTTCTTCCTGCAGTAGGTGCTGTAGTCGCTGCTCCTGCTCTTCTGGGAGTTGCTGGTTTCACCTCAGCAGGAATAGCTGCAGGCTCTTACGCTGCAGGCATGATGTCGTCTGCTGCAGTTGCTAATGGAGGAGGAGTGGCAGCTGGAAGTGTGGTGGCTGTTTTGCAGTCAGCAGGTAAATAAATAATTAGACGTTTTATTCGGATTTTAACTTGCAACAACATGCAAAAAGACATATTTCATGAAAATATCACAATTTTAGATTAGATAATGACACTATATTGTATCATTATGATAATAAATATTACAATGACATCATCAATTATAT